GTTGGAAAACTTCTACCAGACTACACGGCGCTACAATCAATAAGACGGCCATATTTATAATCTCTTTTGTTTCGTGCAAAGAGGGAATTTGTTCGCCAGAAGAATGTCTGTAGGCATAATTGTAACATGGAGTTGAGTGCATTTTGTTTATTCCCGAGTTTATTTTCCCCTTATTTTCATAATGTCTACATAAATATTTATAATTGATTTGCTTATTGTTTTATTTATATTAGCTGTTAATTTCACAATAACACATTTCATCTGAGTTATCCGCCAAGCGTTCACTTTCTTTATGTTGATATGTTTTATTCGTTGGTTTCGATACCAGGCGGTTGTTTCAAAAAGTTACAGATCGATATGCATTTGTCTTCATGATCAAGTCAAGTAGCCGTAGGAACTTGCATGCTGCCTCTTCGACTAGGTTTTGTTGTAGATGATTGTATTTAACGAGTGTGCAGCTACTGTGATCGAGATGTACGAGCCTGCGTCTGTCTGCAGAGAAATCTTTTTGGCGTCGTCCTTACTGAAAACAGAAACAAAATACAGTCATTGGTGTCAGCTGCTGGTCGTAAACAGTTCACGGGGAAAGAACAAGGAGAAAGTAAGACACAATTAAGGAAATAAAGGATGGACGGAAACGAGGAAGATATAAGAGAAATAAAAAGGGTTGCTGCTGTTTGTATTCTCCTAGAAGTTCATCGACGTGAGGACCTCAAATCCTAGATCGTAATTACGTGGTCAGCTTCACTTTGCAGTCGCTTTGTTACCGAGTATAATGATTTTCCAGACCATGTCAAGAAATGGTAGTGGAGCGTGGAGGTAGCTGACTACGAGTTCCATACCTCAACGTTAGTTTGGAGAGAATGGTCAAGGAAAGAGGCCTCGTTATCTGGTGCATAGGCGGATGGATGGGCCTCCTGCTAGCTACCTGTATAAATAAGGAATACCTGTTGAGAAGCACGACTGCCACAATGTTGTCGGGTCTGAGGAAAGCCACGTTGTCGACTCCACTTTCAGCTGTAGAATTTAGTTGGATGCGCTTTGATCCGGGAGGCACGAATTTGGACAGATGGGCCAGTGAATAGAAAATGGGTTGTTTGTAGAACTCGTTGGCAGTAGAGTTCACAATAATGGGAGAGTCCAGATTGTTGTTCAGGTAAGTTGGTCCTCCGATGGTGTTGAGTGCAAGGTTCCAGTCGATCCAGCCGGTCACCCAGTGGTTCAGTACCTGCAGCAAGAACACAGGACTCTCCCGTGATAACCGAACAAGAAATGACGTTGGTTGCAGGTTCCAAATTTGTGAGCGTCATTCGCACCAAAAGTTAACAATCCGATTAATTTATCGGTCAGTAATTATAACAGGCCTAATCATAACTTAATCGTAACCATAAAACTCTCCTATTTGCTCGTCTGTTTCTCTGAATTATATTAATATGACAAATCCACTTCTTCCTAAACTCTAAAATGTTTACAAATGTAAATCTGGCTTCTACTTAATTCAAAATAATGAATGGTCACGTTATCTGCTGTAAGTAACTAAGCAGTATACAATGCAGTAGACTAGACCAGACTCGGCACTATATAGATGTGAGTGGTCAGCTTCACGTCGCGACCGCCTTATCCCTGAAGAAAGAACCCTGGAACCTAGTTGTTTGGAGGCTGGGTGGGCCCCAGATCAGGTCTGAAAGCTGAGGCAATCCCTGCCATACAGCCTAGTCACTCTACTGACTGAGATACCTCGGCTCTAATAATATTAATCATAATTCGATTCAATTTATTTATTAGACAATAATAGTGCAAAAGTTGCCCTTGTGCTGAAGTAACACTTTATGAAAGGCGAGCATGGGGGAATATAGGAAATATTCACACAACCATAACTTTAGCATTAGATGAACGCAAGCAGTCAGCTTCAAACTGCGTCCGTCTTAACTCTCTGAACTAGGTGGGAAAGAAACACCCTTTCCTTCTGGAATCGAAGTCCAGTCACACATCCCGTAGCTAGTCAACGGTAATAATTGAGACTTCAGATTCTCACGGTGACGACTATGAAGGTGGCTGTCTTCTGCGTGGTTGTTTCTATCATCAGAGAGATGAGTACTCATCGCCTTGATAATTGAGGCAACAAACACCTCTGAAACGTCG